AATTTGGTAGCCGAGGTCCAGCTACAAAACATTATGTGCAGCACATTTACAGTGTCATAGCAAAGAGTAAGCTGCAAAGTTTTAGGAGCAATATTAAAATTTGGCATCTGAGGTCCAGCTGTGAAAACATAATTTTGTTTTTTGGGGGGGGGGGGGGACATGTGACAGACACTTTGGAACTGGATTTGTGCAAGGCAAACACTGTCAGGATATGACCATTTGAAGTGACAACACACTTTTCTGACCTGACAAAGGACCTTCTTGATGTTAGGGTACTTAGCCAGGAATTGCTGCCCCACCAGGCTAAGTACATGAGCCAGGCAGAATAAGGTTTGTGAACTTTCCCTGAAGATTGTATAGGAGATTAGTATGGGGTCAGCCACCTCCCAACCTAGTCCTGGAGAGCTGTCAGAAGCAGTGGTGTATTTAGGTTTTGTGCTGCCCTAGGCAACACAAAAATCGGACCCCCCCCCATGGAGAGAACCTGACATTGACCAATAACACCCCTGCCAAACCCCCCATCTTAGAGAGATTCCACTAATACCTCCCCCCTCATCAAGAAAGATACTCACCTTCACAGCTCCAGACATCCCCGGGAACAAGAGTCGGGATCTGCATACTAACAAGTAGCCCGCAACCTCTCTCAGATCACACCTGGTCCCCTCTTCCATCCCTTCTTCTGGGGAGCGGTGCTGCCCCCCCCCCTGAAAAATGCCACCCTAGGCAAATGCTTTGTTTGCCTTGTGGTAAATACACCCCTGGTCAGAAGTTCTGACCCAGTGTTGTTCCTGTCCCCTAGGCATACTAGCAGCAAAACAGCATGGCAGCATTTTGCACAAGACATTTCACCAGCTCCTGCATCCATCGTATTCCCCATCCTGCATCCATCCCAGTCGCCAGCAAACTGAATTGTATAGCATCCATGCTCATACTTTCTGGACCATATGTCTGTGGTCATCTGGACCTTGCCGCTGAGGGATGTGTTGTTTTCCACATGCTGGAGGAGGGCAGGAATAGCCTAATGGACAAAATATTAGTAGCTTGGTATATGCCACTGTGGACATAAATGGAGAAGATGGACTTTTATGGACTTGTGCTGCTTGCCCTATTAGCACCATTTCATCTCTTCTTCCATGATATTAATTAATCACTTCATAAAACTCAGGTGTGAAGTTGGCATGCTCAGGGGGTTGACATGCAATTAATAAATTCCCCAGGTATTCTCCCTTCCACCATGAACATTATAAAATCTCCTCAACTCCTGCCTATTATCAGAATATGCAGAGGCAAACAGAAGACCGGTTGATTCTTCGTAACTTTGTTGGAGAAAAGCACATCACCTTCTAAATGGACTAGTGACATCAAATGATATTGTACAATCACAGGTATTTATTGGCAATAATGAATGCAGATGTTTCCATAATTTCTTTTCTGAACTGACATGAAAAGTTCCATAGTGAAAGTCATGCTGCACATAACAATTTTATTACACTATTTTACATATTCACATTTGTTATATTAAGAAATGTACTGTTTATTATTAATAATAATAATAATAATAATAATAATAATAATGATTTGTACCCATCAAATTGTTAATGGCTTTAGAAATGTTTACTGTAAGAATAAGAGAACTTTAGGTATGATCTAAAAATTACTAGAAGGCAAGTAATACCTAAACCCAAGAAAAAAAATGTAATGTACTGAATGCGGTGGCTGCATTTGTTTACTTTTTATAGACTAAGAACAATTTCTGAAAGTACAAATAGTTGCTATAAATTGAAGTATACTGTATGTAATCCCTCACCTTGGAAAATAACCTATTCCGATTAAAATAGAAATGAATGGCAAACCATTTGTGTATAGATAAAAAAAAAACATTATACACTGGGAGCACAATTAGTAGGCAAATTAGTTTTTTTTTTATTAAATCATCATCAGTATTATTATGTATATTGTCCAAGTCCAAGATCTGAAAACTTGAAACAGGTGATGTGTATTCGTGTAATGAGGGAGGGTGTGGCCTAAGGAGATCAACACCCTATATCAAGGTGTGGAGAATTATTAGGCAGCTTCTTTTCCTCAGCCAAAATGGGCCAAAAAAGAGATTTAATTGACTCTAAAAAGTCAAAAATTGTAAAAAGTCTTTCAGAGGATTGCAGCACTCTTGAAATTGCTAAGATACTGAGGCGTGATCACAGAACCATCAAACGTTTGTGTTGCAAATAGTCAAAAAGGTTGCAAAAAGGTTGCAAGAGATGTGTTGAGAAAAAAAAAGACGCAAACTAATTGCCAAACATTTGAGAAGAATCAAACTTGAAGCTACCAGGAGCTCATTATCCTCCAGTACTGTTATATTCCAGGACTGCAAACTATCTAAAGTGCCCAGAAGTACAAGGTGTTCAGTGCTCAGGGACATGGCTAAGGTAAGGAATCCTGAAACCCGACCACCACTGAGCAAGACACATACGTTGAAATGTCAAGACTGGGCCAAGAAATTTCTGAAGACAGATTTTTCAAAGGTTTAATGGACTGATGAGATGAGAGTGACTCTTGACGGATCAGATGGATGAGCCTGTGGCTGGATTAGTAAAAGGCATAGAACTCCACTTCAACTCAGATGCCAGCAAGTTGGATTTGGGGTTCTGGTATGGGCCGGTATTATTACAGTAATAATAGCAGCCCATACCAGAACCCCACCTCCACCTTGCTGGTGTCTGAGTAGAAGTGGAGCTCTGTGCCCATTACTGATCCAGCCACAGGCCCATCCATGTTGTCCATCAAGAATCACTCTCATCTCGTTTACGGACCCAGAATCTTTTCTCTACCCTTGAAAGCTTTGGATAAAACCTGGATTGGTTTGATCCAAAGCTTTCCTAAGCTAGTAATGGCTGGTAAACAAAAGACCAAAACCATAAGTAACAAAATAATCATCCCCAATCATCTCTATGCAGAGCCGGCAGAACCCCTGGCTTCAGTGCTGGGTTCTCTGGTTGGACTGGAGAGATGCTGGGGGTGGGGGGGCAGGAAAAGAGGACCTCCTTCCACCTCCTATAAAAAGCAATTCAGCGGCATCTCCGGCTAAAATACTGGTATGATGCCTGTAGCTGGCAGGCATCATCTCGGTATACCACTTCAAACTGGCAATGTAAATGTATGTTAGCCGGTCTTAAAATGGTTAAAAAAAATCTCGACCCTTTGAAACATTTGACCCTGAGCTTAACTTTTGACCCTAACCCTAACACTAACCCTGGCACTGACTTAGATCAAGCCTTCATCTAGCTATTTTTTTCCCTATTTTTACAGTTTTTTTTATACATTTTTGTTTGTTTACATCTTTCTCTCCTGCGAGAACAAGATACAATGTATCTTTCTTTCCATTCAAAACAAAAAGAAAACACAGGGGTAGGCTGCACAGTGCATGATCACTTTGATAGTCTCTGATTGGCTATCACAGTGATCAGATTACCGGGAACCGATCGTTAGTATGATACCCGAGGTTCTGTGCAGCTTGCTCTCAGCACAAAGACAGGTATGCAGATATGCATCTCCACAGATAAAGGCCCACTTTAGTGCGGCTGCGTATCTTTGTACTGTTAAAGGTTACGCATGAGTCCTATTTAGCACTCTCTCCATATCTATATTTTGGAACCAATCACTACACTATAGTGTCCCTTTTATACTCTCCTTCTTTCTACATTCTCTGTTTAGTACTTGACTGGCAACCAAGACCTTCAAAACTGACACTCACCAGCCACTTTATTAGAATCACCTGTTCAATTGCTTGGTACCACAAATTGCTAATCAGCCAATAACATGGCAGCAACTCAATGCATTTAGGCATCTAGACGTGGTGAAGACAACTTGCTGAAGTTCAAACTGAGCATCATAATGGAGAAGAAAGGGGATTTAAGTGACTTTGAACGTGACATGGTTGTTGGTGCCAGACGGGCTGGTTTGAGTATTTCAAAAACTGCTGATCTACTGGGATTTTCACACACAACCATTTCTAGAGTTTACAGAGAATGGTCTGAAAAAGAGAGGCAGTTGTGTGGACAAAAATGCCTTGTTGATGTCAGAGGTCAGAGGAGAATGGGCAGGGTGGTTGCTGCGACATTCAGATGGTAGGTTCAGAATTTGGCGTAAACAACATGAAAGCATGGATCCATTCTACCTTGTATCAATGGTTCAGGCTGGTGGTGGTGGTGTCATGGTGTGGTGGATCCATCCTGCCTTGTATCAATGGTTCGGGGCTGGTGGTGGGGGTGTAATGATGTGGTGGATCCATCCTGCCTTGTATCAATGGTTCGGGCTGGGGGTGGTGGTGTCATCGTGTGGTGGATCCATCCTGCCTTGTATCAATGGTTCAGGCTGGTGGTGGTGGTGTCATGGTGTGGTGGATCCATCCTGCCTTGTATCAATGGTTCGGGCTGGTGGTGGGGGTGTAATGATGTGGTGGATCCATTCTACCTTGTATCAATGGTTTGGGCTGGGGGGTGGTGGTGTAATGGCGTGGGGGATATTTTCTTGGCATTATCGAGGTGTACCTAATAAAGTAGCAGGTGAGTGTACAACCACCACAGAAAGAGCAAAGCTTTTGTCCAGTGTAGGCATAAAAGTTGATATTAGTGTGTTTTTGAAAAAACAAAGAAAATTCTGTAAATACTGTATTATCTATCGTACTTAATCATATTTTATTGTTTAGGAAAAAAACTCATCTTTGGTACCATCAAATGTTGTCCAGGTGAATAATGTGTGAGCCCAACCAGACTCAGGTCACACAAATAAAACTACTTGGATTTCAAGATCTTTATAAATTCAAGATTCCGCTGTTCATTGCATTCCTTCTAACATACTTGATGATAATAAGTGGAAATGTTTTAATCATTTTTTTAGTTACAACTGTTGATCAGCTTAAAATTCCAATGTACTTCTTTCTCAAGTACTTGGCTACATCTGATGTCCTACTGACCACCAGTGTGGTACCCATGACACTTGACATCATCCTCAAAGATGAAGGAAGATTATCGCTGTATGTTTGTATTACTCAGCTTTATTGTGTTTGTATATGCAGCTATTTGCAATGTTTTCTGATCGCCATCATGTCCTATGATCGGTATTTGGCTATCTGCAATCCATTACGATATACCTCACTTATGAATTCTCATGTTTGCTTCCAGGTGATCATTGGGTTATGTTTCTTTGTTACTATTTTAGTATCAAGTGAAATGATTGTGATATACAGGTATGATTACTGTGGATTGAATTCTATAGACCACTTTTACTGTGATTTTTACCCACTGATTGAATTGTCCTCCTCAGATACTTCTGGTTTGAAGCTACAAGATTTTATTATCTCAATAATCACAATATGTTTACCATTTGCTTTTATTATAATGACTTACATCTTCATCATAATCCCTATTCTGAAAATATCTTCTGTTCATGGGCGTAGAAAAGCCTTCTCCACTTGCAGTTCCCATGTAACCTTGGTTGGGGCTTTCTATGGTACATTTATTATCGTCTACATGACACCACCTGATGAAGCCTCAAGCCACTTGAATAAATACAGATCATTGTTGTATCTTGCGGTTTCTCCGCTGATAAATCCAATCATTTACAGCTTAAGAAACCATGAGATCAAGGCAGCTCTGCAGAAAACCTTAGCCGATTTTAGGAATTTGTGTCCAAAAGTAAAGAAACTATGTGTTTTGCCACTATTATAGCCTTTAAAGAAGTCTACCTTTTTATATCATCTATACAGGCCGGGATTATGGTACTTTTTCTCAAATGTAATATCTGTCTTAAACTAATGTTTGTATCAATTTACTTAATAAAGTGTATGTGTATTTAGCACCTTCCTAGGAAAGCTAGGGGGAGTTAATTTATTATTTTTTGGCAGCAGGCTGAATAGCTGCCCAATAGAAATAGCCAGATGGGTCATATCTATGGTCCCCAGCTGTGGATGTTAAAAACTGTTCCAGTGTTCCTAGTGGGGTATTCCATCTTATAGTTTTCAGCTGAAATAACCCAGTCTGCTCCTAATAATTGCCTAAACCTTGTGCTTGTCATCTGCAGGGAATTTAGATTGTTCCAGTCTACTTTCATGTCCTACCCATGCTCTAACGTTCTCCTGGGCTACTGCTGGAAGTGATAGACTGTTGCTACTACATAGTGGAGAGGTGTCTCTGCTAAGCCTGTGCCTAATATTCTTCTGGTACACATTAGGGAATGAAGGACTGTGCTGCTTTTCCCTAGAGAAGTGTCCTCTGCAAATCTGTGCTCAGGTTCTTGGAGTATCCCATACCCCATTGTCCACCCCAGTTACATGTTTCAGCAATAAATCAAGAAAAGGCATCCCCTAGACTGATTACTGAGCCACAGAGGGGGAATTGTTGATGTGTGCCTGGCTGCCTCGGCACTGGTTTGGGGAAGAACCCGTGGAATACAGCTGCCCTTTTGGGGGTCAGCGCTATACTGCATACAGTAAGTCATATTGTAAATCAATGTAATTAACAATAACCTTTCCATTTCGATCTACAGTCGCTGTACATTTTTTTTTCTAAAATTCAAAGCAATATGGCAAACTGTATTCACCAAAAATGTCATCTCCTGCTTGTGTGATTGTCTCACTCATTTCCCCAGAAATCTGCATTAAGTTACATTAAGTCAGATTTTAGGCATCCGCTGCAACAGAAATGTTGTTTTTGGTGAGATACTCCCTTCACACAGGCATAGAAAAATATGTGGTTCAGTCCTGTTTTACTATTTCCCAACTGCCACTCAAAATTGTTAAAATAAAGAGCATATGGAGGTGTGTATAAAAAGTCAGAAAGTGGGCTCATATTAAACATTAATCATACTCTATGGGTACTATCCTAAATTTGGTTTGTTTAACTTTTTTTTTTTTTTAAAGAATATTTATTGAGTTTTGACAGAGTTTAACCAATCATAATATCAAAACATTTAAGATACAATTGCCACATCAAGTCTAGTCGGAGAGGTAGAGGTGCAGCAAAAAAGAAGATATAGAATCAGTGTGATGAGAGCAATTATCATAAGGCATTCATATGACATTGAATTATACAGTTGGTATGAGTAAGTAATAAAGAGAGTGGTATATGTGAGTGATGGATATTTAGATTATGCGTAGGTGAAGAGATAATAGGGGCCAATAGAAAGTGTGTAATCGTAGGGTAAGGTGGAGATGAGGTTGGCCAGTAAATGCTGGTAGGTAATTAGGGTGTCACAGAAGGCATTTGCTATCCACCAACGACCTGCCAGAAAGAAATGATCAAAGAAGTGTCTGTGGACTCGGAGTCTATGATTAGGTAGAGAGGTATCAAAAGGCCTGAAGGACAAGAGATGTAAAGATTGAGGATCAATAACAGATAGAGTAGTCAGATTAGTTATGTGTGTTAAGATTAATGAAAATTGAAGGCCAAAATTATATATAAAAACTGAAATAAAGGAAAATAAAGGAGAACAGAGGTAATACCCGGGGGCCTAGTTTGGTTAGAATAGAATAGAGGGAAAGGGATGAGGAGGAAGGTAAAGAAGAGAGGAGAGGAGGAGAGAAGGAAGTTGTTGTGGACTTTTTGGAATTATTTATCAAGACATAACCTTACTTATGACAGCAACCCAGCCTAGCCGTATGTTAAGGGTTAACTTGTCTTGGTTGAAAAGTCGAATGACCATCCAGCTAGAGAAATGTACATAATGAGTGAAGTGAGATTTTTCCAAGACAATAAGACTGTTTGGACTGTCAAAAAATACTATTTGTATATTGGGGTCAGGGAGAATGCATATACAAAAGTTAAACAGACAGCCAGATGAGACATTAGACTTTCAAATACTGAGTCATCACATCTAACTAATAGACAATGATGAGACGGGAAATTCACTGGTCAAAAGTATACCCAAAATCCTGTGGAGTGTAATGAACTAACAAACCTCTCAAACTATCACAATATGCTATTATCCACCAAGGTTGAAAGTTGTTTACTCTGACTCCAACACAAGAGCCAGGCAAACAGAGAGTCTTTTACTACCTATGGGAATGTTTGTTTCTGAAACAAAGGTTAAATTCAGGACATTTTAAAGCTAAGAATTGAATATATCTAACCACAAAGATATTACTAAAAAGCATAGTATCTATGAATGTTATAAAGAATATGTTTCACACACCACAAAATATTCAGCAGAATGGGGATTGTATATCACTAACTTGAGTATTGAGATGAGAAAAAAAGTAAGATATATTGTGAGTTAGCATCAGTTGTATGTCTTATCAGGAAACAAATGCTTTCACACAAGCTTGTATCTCAGGGAGAGGAATAACTGAATATACACATATATTCCATGGTTCTTATTTAGAACATTATAGCTATGATCAACTATATATCTGGATAAGACGTATATTTAATACCTAAAATCACCTTGAGTTCCACCCGAGGTATGAGTCATCATCAATACTCAAATTGTTCTATGGTACAAGACCGCCACCTGGCAGATAGGTGAGAAATAGCTTATGTACATACATTTCTCAACTAGCCAATCAAGAAGCCTGGTGGGAGGGTATCTTAGAACAATAGTTTAGTTGGTATAAAAGCCCATGCACCTTATTGAAAAAAGGAAAAAACTCATCAAAAAAGACCTCATCAAGAAAAAGCTCACTAGAAGAAAATCTGAAGACATATGAAGAGACAACTCTGCTGAATAATCTCTCTTCCATCTTTTCAAACTTTTAAAAACTTTCTCCTAAACTTCTAAACCTCTGAATCTCTACTATACTACATATCTATCACTTGCCCCTGTGGCATCATTCTGAAGGCGTTCCATTGCCAGCTGAATCCACTGGAAAGTTTCATTGTCTGAATTCCGGGGTGTGGTGAGACTGTCCATTTAATTTTGCATTGCATATTTTATTTGTTGTGTAGAGTAATAATAATTACCTTAGTGTATCACAGCTGTATTGGGTGGTTATATATATATATAGAGAGATCCTGTATTACTGCTAAAATTGTTTGGTGTCATATTCCAAATTTTTCATATTTCATAATTTATTAAATATTAATAATTAGAGTATAATTTATCAGAGAATATCTTCTTCCAATCCCATGGCCACGGTTTTGTGAGAATATAACCTCTGAGATACTCTAAATTATTAGTTATTGATAAATTTAATTTTTAATAATCATCATTATCATCTAGAAATTTGTCATATTGATTTCATTATTTAGAAACATTATTATTGTGTATTATATTGGCATAGTATATCTTTGACCGTGTGTATCAATATTCATTCATCACCAGTCTTTTGCGTTTTGTGTTAATATATATATAATTTTTGTACATAAATAAATTTTTATATTTATCTATTATAAGGCAAATTTTGTGTGTATGGTACGAAATCATACTGGCTAAAAGAATTCAAGGTCTAATAATAAGTGGTGATCAAATTATCAAGGTGTCCAAATTATTGGTTTACTAAATATTTGCCGTATTTTAATGGCTGGAGGCACTGTAATATTTCATCTAAGGGAAAGGGACACCGCCCTTTATAAGTAGAATAAATCCTTACATAAACCACCACAAAGTCAGTGTTTACGGGTTCCGCCATAAGGATTGTAGCCGAGATGGCATGTTGCACTTATTAACAATACGACTATAGTGTAAGTATGGTGAGCAGGAGGAGAGAGGTCTAGAGAGGTGACATTGTAGAAAGGGTGAGATACAACAATGCATTATAACAGCTCATCCATCAGAATCAATATCTATTAAATTAGTAGGAGAAGGCTCCGATAATAATGGGATCGATGAGAATTTCGTTGAACGGTTTAATAAATGAGGATTCTGGAGATAAGATGCCTGTTCTTGTGCAAATAGGGATCCCTTTATGTAGGATTCCCATTTACGTAAGTAAGAGGACGGGGAGGTGATTAGGTTGAGTCTATCAAGACATAGAAAAGAATGAAGTTCCTGTTTGACGTCTGTTAGGGTTGGAGGGCAGTTGGAGACCCATTTCCGAAGAATTGCCTGTCTGGCTATTAGAAGTGTTGTAGATATCCACGGCTTGTTGTTTCTGAAAGATGAGGTTTGGGAAGAGAAGAGGCCAATGGCTGGCTGTTCCAAGAGGCCAAAAATGAGCGATAGTGGGTTCATGGGTAGCTGGATGGTAGTAATTATGGTTATAAAGTTGACCACTTGTTTCCAGAATGAAGAAATAGCCAGACATAGCCAGAGTCTGTGTTGCAATGATGGTTTTTGACTTCGACAGAGAGGGCAAGTAGATAGAGCCGGATCAGTTTTTGAATAGAGACAGGGCATATAGGCACGGTGAAGAATCCTGAGTTGTTGTTCCCGCCATAACTCATTGTGGTTGAAGGCACATGTGGAGTTGTAGCCTGATAATAGATGGTCAGCTGTAAATGCATTTCCGAAATCCTTGACCCATGATTTCACAGCATTGGATGTCTCAAAGGGTTTGGCGTACAGTAAATTCAGAGGTCTGTATATATTCGATATTTTGTCTTTTCACGAGTTTGCTAAGACCTCAATGAATGTAGATTGAAATCTTGTAGACCTCATAGGTGCCACAGAGTTGACAAAGTTTCTTACTTGGAGCATGTAGAATAAGTGGTGTGCTGGTAAACCGTAGGTGAGTAGGACAGTATTAAGAGGTTTTGGGGAACCCGTGGAGGTGTCGTATAAGTGCTATACCAGA